ATGAGGTCAGGTCAAGTGACCAAGAGCCAGAGTTCAGTTTTCCATAACTTCGCAAAAAAAAAAACGGTCGGAGAGCCGCGATTTTGGCATCATCGTGTTCGCCTCGCTCAGGCGCGTCGAATGGTATACTTTTTGTTCGGGTGAGGTCAACTTGAGGTGTTGACCTCCGGTCAAGGGCAGGTCAGCTCCACCAGATCACGAAGCTGGTTGAAAGAGGTCATGTTACATATTACTCGAATCGGCAGGTCTTCCTGAGTTAATTGGTGGCTTTCCCGACTCGCTAACTCAATTTGATGGGGAGTTATTGATGAAAAACTCTAATGACCCAAGTATGTAACTGCAATGAAAACCGTAAGCCTCATGCTAATAATTATCTTCAAAATAGGGCCAAGAAAATAAGACATGTTGGCCAAACTGACAAACTGACTTTTGTGAAACCGTCTTACGGTTTTCATTGCAGTTATATATGTAATCATGAGCTTCAAAACCGCGCTTTCTTTAATCAATGACCCAAGTGACCATAAATGACGCCACGCACATAGGCGGCGGAACGGGGGGGGGGGGCACCGGGGCACCGTGCCCCCCTTGAATTCTGCAAGGGGGGCACCAATAGCAAAGTGCCCCCCTTAAATTTGATGTATTAGTACCAGGGGCGGATTCGGGAAAACTCCAAGGGGAGGGTCATGAATCGAAGTGGTGGCCCTACCTATACCCAAAATGAAAACCTCAACGGATTTCGGCCACTTAATTTTGGTGGTGCCCTATTTTCAGTTTTTTCTTTATTTTTGGTTAGTCATGTGATGACTGGTGCCCCTGCTAGGGCGCTGGTGCCCCTGGAAAGACTGTGGTACCTAGTACCTACCTACCCTGCCCCCTGACAAGCCTACGGTGGGCCCTAACATGACTTAGGTGCCTATGGGCCCTGACAGGCCCGTGGTGTCCCTGACAGGCCTGGGGTGTCCTTGCTAGGCCTGTGGTGTCCCTGGGCCTTGGCAGGTCTGTGGTGCCCCTGGCGAGCCTGTGGTGCCCCTGTTAGAACGCAGGTGCCCTTGACAGGTTTGTGGTGCCCCTGACTATCCTAAGTGCCAACGACAGGCTTGTGGTGCCCTTGACAGGCCCATGGTGCCCTTGCGAGGCCGGTGGTTCCCCTGCGAAGCCGATAGTGCCCCTGGCAGGCCTCTGGTGCCCCTGGAAGACCTGTAGTTCTTTTGCTAGACCGATGGTGCTCCTGACAGGCCTGTGGTGCCACTGACAGGCCCGTGGTGCCCCTGCTAGGTCTGTGGTACCCCTGACGGGCCTGTGGTGCCTCTGTCGGCTGTCAGGCCTGTGGTGCTCCTGGCAGGCATGTGGTGACCCCAGGCCCTAAGTCATGACCCATGTGACCTCCCCCTGGGATTCGCCACTGATTAGTACTGCGATGGCTTCTTGGGAATTTGATACATGTAGGATAAATGGATAAATGGAATTTATCAAACGACAATAAGGAAGAGACAAACACATGCCTAGGTACTTGAGGATCAGCTTAAAAGTTAACCACACATACGGGGGTGAACTGCCATTTTCGTTAGGAAAATAAAAAAAAATAAAAAAATAAAAAATCATCGTGTCAGGGCTGTGACGAAAAATAAGTGGCCTAAATCCGATGAGAAAACAGGATTTGGGGGTACCCTAGGTTTGGCTCCTTGAGCTGGTGCCCCCCCCCTTGTCTCAAATCGTTCCGCCGCCTATGGCCACGCAATGTCAACAATGCAAAAGTGAAGCATCGGACCTTGCAAGGCGTGCAAGAAATCACGATTCCATGTGCTGGAGACAGTTTGAGATAGTTCTCGGCGCTAACATAGCAGTTTTCATTTTTCCCCATTGACTTATACCTATTGGTGAGGTCACGTGGCCGATCTGACCTCATATGATTTTTAGGGAAAATCCGAGATATACGAGTATGTACAAATTGTGAGACCTCTGGATGATACTACATCCTGTAAGTTTCATCTGTGAAAGTTCCTCTGGCACTGACGGCGTTGCGAAGTTGCGACATCTGAGTACTGTGCAGAGGTTCACTTATGACGTCACAGGTCATTGACTTGACCTGACCTGAAAATGCGGTTGGTGTCACAAGATGCGGCTTGGATCAAAGGTCAGGTATGCCAAGTTTCAGCTCTCTATCGCCTGCGTGTTCGGAGCTATCGTGAAAAAACCTATAGGGAGGCGGCACCCGCCCCCCCCCCCCCGTCGGACGGCGAGGGTTAATGATACATGCAGTACCTGATACGAGCATAAGGTTAAAACATGCCTAATTTCATTTCAATAATAACGCTCGAAAGCGTCACAGCTAGACAAAAAAGAAAAACTGTACTTAAAAATAAGCGGATGTGAACACACTCTCCTTGACCGAATCCTTACAAAATGCAAGTCACGGGCCATGGCACCCCAGAAAACCTTGCTTAAAAAGACCCACTGAATCGCCACGAAATCAAGTGCTTTAACATAGGCGTGTCATCTCTATGTATATAAGATCTCTATGGTTCCTATGGCTCAGTTTTTTTTTTAACTCAAATTTTATTTTAATTAATTTCAATGTACCTTAACGTGGTGTGTTTTAGGCTTTTAGTTCTGGCTTTTACTGTTTTTGTACACTTGTACTGCATGCCTTTGTCTTTGTATAATGACGTGGATGCCATAGAACCCATGAAAGTGGAGGCACCGAATACACTATCTATCTACAGTCTAGTATCTATCTATCTATCTATCAATCTATCTATCTATCTATCTATCTATCTATCTATCTATGGAAAAGTAGTGAGCTTTACAGCTTGAAAGCTTGAAAGGGTTTTCTCGAGTAGTGATAGATCGTAGCATTCGTGTTTTACTTCAGTAACGATTATCGCATCACCGAAAATAGCAGCCTTAGCATGGGCGCCGCCACCGGGGGGGACGGGGGGGACGCGTCCCCCCCACTCTCAGAATGGAAGGGGGACGTCCCCCCCAAACTCATTACGGAGCGAGCCAAGCGAGCTTAGTCTTTCGGATAACGGACATTTCTGAGTATGAGCGGCCGGCACGCTTTTGCGAGGCTTATATCTCAGCAGCCACTTGACCGAATTACATGCCATAATTTTCGCTAGGGTAGCTTTATTCCTTCTAACAAGTGTTGGACTATTCTCAGTGCATGTGGGTGACCCCTTATGCACGTGCCATGTGAAAAATGAAGAGGTGTCAGTTTTGTAACAATTGCAATATCTCGGTAACTACTGGGCCGATTGCGCTGAAAGTTGGCATATATAGGTAGGTACCCACTATAGAGCAATGCATATTCATGTGCTACAGTTGGGGTGCTGCTGCACGTGCGCACGTGCAGGGGTCGATTCCAGATCTCGAGAACGGCTGAACCGATTGTGCTGAAATTTGATACATGGTTAGGGACCGGTTAGTAGGGTACCGTGCAAAAGTCAGTTGGGACCCATTTTGCACGTGCGCACGTGCAGGGTGCCGCTTCCAGACCAGAGCTCGTGAACGGCTGGGCCGATTGCGCTCAAATTTGGCACATCGTTAGGGACCGGTTAGTAAGGTGCAGTGCACAAGTTAGTTGGAGGTACCCCCTTCCAATTTCGCACGTGCAAGGCCCACCCTCTCGCTCGATCCGTTGGTCGCCCCAAAAGGCGTTTTGCTGGTTGTTATCCATACTCGAAATTTGCTTAGGCCCTTCTGTCCAATGAGACCATTTCAGAGCCGGAAGGATGAAAGAATTAGTGGGAGACATTGGGCTGGGCAGCCAACCCAGTGAGCCACAATTGGGCTGAACCCGACCAATTGAACAGGCAGCCCAGCCCACTGGCATTCACTGCACCCGGCAAAGGACTATAGCTCCAGTGGAGCCATTCCTGCATGGGATAGTTGCCCGTCCAGCCCGGAGCAGGGGGGTTGCGGCGTGTAGGAGAAGGATTTGACTGTCCTGAGGATGGAAGAGATAGAACGGTGCCGAATCTGAGAGGGTTAAATTTCCAGCTTCTAAGAAATAAGCTATACGGTTGAGAGGACAACAAAACTTTGAGGCGACCTGACTACTTCACTTGGTGACCTGACCTAAGGTTTTCTGGTATCAAGCTTGTTACACGGGCTGCAAAATCCGTATTTTGGAGCAGTTTTGCCTGATGTTTTTTGCCAATTTTCGCGGCGCTTCGCGCCGATTCATGCACAACCCAAAAAGAGAGGTTGTTACTATTACAACGCCCCCTCCCCCACGCGGGTATGCAATATGCATTTCCTATGCAATATGCATTACCGATCAGATTAGTGGCATACATGAGCAATTATAGCCTGATAGAGCACTGGAGGTTTTGCCGTGTCAAAATGAATCGGACATCGGATGTGTATATAGGTAGGTACTTGGTGGGAAATCGGTCTATAGCCATACCTAAACTACTTTCCTCAAACCAGTTGTTTTGCCACAGTTATGAGTTTTTATGCTTAAAATGGTCAGAAAGTAACATAATGAATATTTGCAAAGAGGATTTTATTTTATTTTTACATAAGAACTGTTTTCCATCTTTCGTAGAGGTTTCTTATATTGCAGCGGAAGCTGATTACGCGTTGACCAAGCATACTCGTATTACGTAGTTCAAACCAGCTGAATGCTGATTGGCTAGCATTTTTCCGTAAGGGAATGGATTCCTCGGTAATGGAATGACAAAGTGTAGTCTCAGCTCAAGTCTCAGCACAAGCTACAAAACTGTTACTAGTTTAAAACCCTATGTTAAAAGTGGCATATTTGCTTTAAACGTTCAATACATCGGACCGAAAAAGCCACGGTAAGAATGTCTTTTTTTTGGGTTTTCAGTCGGTCAGTCCGTCCCCCCCAGTCAAAAATCCGTGGCGGCGCCCCTGAGCCTTAGTGTGTCTTCTGTCTACTGTAGACTTTCGGTATTCGTGTTACAAATGGGTCATAGTATCAAGCCAATAATTATCCTAGTTTGTTATCCACTGAAGTATCCCGTTTTTCTCAGCTGGTCGAAGTTACCGGTACAGCAGCGGACCGACTACTGTCTGAAAATCGCCGCCATCTTGGAATCACGTCTGGACGAGTTTGCCGAGGCCGAGTCACGTGACCAGGGCAAGCCCGTGTGGCTGGCGCGTGCGGTGGACGCACCACGAGCCGTGCTCAACTTCCGAGCCTACGCCGAGTCACTCAACCACGAGCTGATGACGTGAGTCCCGAGTCCTGTGACGACTAGAGTTTATGACGTGAGTCCGTAAGGGTGAGACCCTGTGATGTCAAGAGTTTGTTATGACGTGAGTCCGTATTATCGTCCTATGGTGTGGTGACGTGAGTCAATGCAACGTGAGTCAACGTGGTCGTGAGTCGTGATCGTGTGTCGTGAGTGACACGTGGCCCAGAGAACCGAATATCCATGACGTGAGTTCGTATTATGATAACCTGAGTCGGTCTAATCGGGTGAGCACGATGATTCGATGTCCTCTCATTGATCCTTACTTTTCCCCAGATATCAGTTTTTGCTCAGTGTTTGCTCAATGTCCTTAGCATTTGTTGCATGTCAAATACCCACCTCGTAATATATATCATGAAACATGTTGGAATTTACTGCTGTTTCTTACTTGTGCTTTATCATTTACACCTATCCCGTGCATCCCAGCTCGAACACGCCGACACCGGGGTGTTAATTTACACCCTGCGCAGCGGCCGTTGGAGGAGTTGTTGTACACCTGTCCGGTTTTTCCCCAGCTCGAACATGCCGACACCGGGGGTGTTGAATTACACCCTCCGCCAACCGGTGGTAGTTGTTGTACACCTATCCGGCTTATCCCCAGCTCGAACACGCCGACACCGGGGGTGTTAAATTACACCCTCCGCCAGCCGGTAGGGGTCGTGGCCGCCATTTCACCCTGGAACCTGCCAATCTACCTTCTCACATTCAAGGTAGGTATTGGCCATAAATTACTTGATAGTAATGCTTGACTTGTCTGGCTTGCTGTGCTACATGCTACATAGGAACTTGTTTATACGACATCAAATCGGCAAGGCTCGGTACTACTCGTGCGCCATTATTCAGATGACTAAAACGTGCTTTGAATAATAACTTCGTGCTCATCGTACATAGAGTAACTTCAAAGTCAACCCGAATATGCTTATCCGCGCTTATAATCTGACGGTTGGACAGTGGCGCGGGTGCGCCGTGCTGTTGCTTCTCCTGACCGTGTGCACCGTGTTGTCGTTTTCAGATCGCTCCCGCCATTATGACGGGTAACACGGTGGTTTGTAAACCAAGCGAGTTCACCTCGGTGACCGCTTACAAACTCGCTGAGGTGAGAGTCACTTTTATACGGTTTAACTTTGCCTATTGCGTTTATAATATGCAGTGTTTTGGATATCCACTTAATCAGCAATGGCGGCTTTGAAAAGTATATCGTCTTACTTGAATTTATTTTTGCGTTAGATAAAAGCACTAAATGCTTGGCTCCGGTCTGGTCTGCTGATACCTGTTTATCGTCTAACAGGTGAACTGTTGACGCAAGTGTAACGCCATAGCCACATGCCAACGTCTAACGTTTGTACTTTGTATTTCTTTTATTCATGGCGTTTTCTTTGAGCCTGAGATCGACAATATTACAGAATCGCCACAGCCCAGACCTGCTGGCTACTCGTCGTCTCATCCTTTTTCGTCTTCTTCTTACCCCGTCTTCTCTTATCCCTTCTTCCCTCCCTTCCCTGCAGGTGATTCAGGAGGCTCTCCCGGTCGTTGAATTGCCTACGTTGTTCACGCTCCCCCCCCCTCCCTGCAGGTGATTCAGGAGGCGGGTGTGCCGGTCGTTGAATTGCCTATGTTGTTCACGCTCCCCCCCCGCAGGTGATTCAGGAGGCGGGTGTGCCGGCCGGCGTGGTGAACATGGTGTTTGGCTCGGGACCCGGCGCCGGAGAGGCCCTCGTCACTCACCCCGAGGTCAAATTGGTCTCCTTCACCGGCTCCACCGCCGTGGGCCGGCACATCAACCAACTGTGCGCGCCACACTTTAAAAAGGTCTCGCTCGAGGTGAGAAAGTTGAGCTGCTGATGATAATGTTGTATTTGTGGTGATCGTTCGCTTCGTTGATTGATTCTTCTCATTGCCTATTGTATAATAATGTCAAGCACGTTTCTTACGCATTTTGTGCCGTACTTTTTGGAAGATGTGAAAAGTCTGTTCTGTTTTCAGTTTCCGCTGGTTGATGGACGTATTCCTGTGCGCTCCTTGACGATGAAATGACCTTACGCTCGACGGGGCACCTGTCTGACAGCCTAGTATGGCTGATACGTTTACCTTCAACATTGTACTTCTCATATTAACGTTCTGTCACAAAATAAAAGCACCACTGTTTTTCACTTGCTGTTCTATGGCTCCGTTTACCCTTCTTATTCGCCCGAAAAACTTGAAGTCGAGTATTTTGCTCCCACTTCTGACTCACCCTCCGTTGCCAGATGGGCGGTAAGAACGCCGCGGTGGTGTTTGGTGACGCCGATCTGACCGAGGCCATCCCGACGCTGACCCGCGCCGCGTTCGTCAACTCGGGACAGGTTTGTCTCTGTGCGTCCCGTATCTACGTGCACAGCGACATCTATGAGCAGTTTGTCGAACTGTTCGTCAAAGAAACCAGGTGAGTGGCTGCCTTCACCGTTAGCATTTGACCTTAAATCCTAACTCGGATGGACTATGTCGACGTTAGTTACCTGGCAGCGATGTGTTCAATTGGCGGTTAAAATCCATGGTAAACCGGGCGCGGGCGAGGCCGGGTGGCGGGTCCGTGGTGTCATTCGCAACAAGCACTGCTTAGCGGGGCACCCGGGCTAACAGCCATTCTAATCGACGAAATTCCTAAACAATAGAATACTGATAATATCTGTACCGATGACACCTTGTATACACAGTGAAGAAGGCTCTTGGAACCGAAAGTTTCGCAGTTTTTTAATATAGTTACTTTCCACTAATTGGTTTATTTTTTTACATCATCATCCAATACTGATAAGATAAATCACCGCAATTTCTGCACCCCTCACACTTTCCCAACCTCCCATCATCTTACCCTCCCCCCCCCCGCCCGCAGGTCTAAGAAGGTGGGCCCTCCGTGCTCCGAAGGCGTCTTCATGGGCCCGGTCAACAACCGCGTGCAGTTTGAGAAGGTGAAGCGGTACCTGGAGATCGCCAGAGAGGAGGGGGGCGTCATCCGGTGCGGCGAGACCGTCGACCCGCCGCTCAGCCTGCCGGAGGAGAACGCGGAGGTAGGGGGCAGGGGTGTGTGTGTTTGAGAAGAGATCTGCTTTCAACTAGCCTCAATGTGAGTGGCGTCTTGTTATAAGCGCCACCAAAATTTTTACGTTAATTGAAAATACTTATAAGCTGGCCAGTATAGGCTTCCAGTATAAATAGGTAAGCTGAAAAATGCATTTTTTATAAGTACATAGATTCTCTCTCTCTCTCTCTCTCTCTCTCTCTCTCTCTCTCTCTCTCTCTCTCTCTCTCTCTCTCTCTCTCTCTCTCTCTCTCTCTCTCTCTCTCTCTCTCTCTCTCTCTTTCACTCACTCTCTCACCCTCTCTCTCTCTCTCTCTCTCTCTCTCTCTCTCTCTCTCTCTCTCTCTCTCTCTCTCTCTCTCTCTCTCTCTCTCTCTCTCTCTCTCTCTCTCGAGGTGGATGGTCGGTTTACTTTCGTTTTCGAGTTTGAATTGTAGCATCGCGCAATTTGTTATTGCTGGCACATTCTCTGTCTCCGAAAACAGACAAAATCCTGCATTCTATTGTGTGACGTACTTTTATATCGTCATTATATGAAGGCAAGGCAGCTTATGGTGGTAGCATTAGTAGTTCATGCTTTTTCTCTAGTCTATCAACTTGGGTGCTAGGAAGGGCCATCGTTTTCACTCAAAATAATCTCCTCCCAGCAGCGTGTTATAAAAGTATACGTGTGAGACATATCCCCTCAGTACATTGACTCTTACCCTCGCTAACCCCTGCCCTTACCCTCTGTCGCCAGGGCTACTTCCTGCAGCCGACGGTGATTACCGGCCTGTCTGACGGCTCCCGCTGTATGCAGGAGGAAATCTTCGGACCTGTCACCTGCCTGACTCCCTTTGAGTGAGTAGGAGAACTGGGAAGGGACGATTGAGATGGGAGTTGAGTTGGGAGTTGAGTTGGGATTGAGTTGGAAGTTGAGTTTGGATTGAGTTGAGATTGAATTGGGAGTTGAGTTGGGATTGAGTTGGGATAGGGACGGGATGATCTTGTAGTATGACAAATGACAATTGTGAATTGTGGATGTCCTACGCCTTCCATTTGATATTAGGCAAGAGAGTGACTGGATTTATGCAATACGGAGCGACACTTTGTAATTAGACTGATCGGAGTGACACTAATCACATCTTGATTTATTATTTATTCACAAAAGCTGCCGAAATGCGCCAACCGTCTGCGGATCGTCGGCCCCGTGGTGTAACGGTTAGCACTCAGGACTCTGAATCCTGCGATCCGAGTTCAAATCTCGGCGGGACCTGATCGTTTCCCTTTTGGAGCGAATTAACTTGGTAACGGACCGTGGGAATTACTAAAAACGAACACTCGTGAACAGGTAATCACGAACTCTGTTCTTTTCCGTTGGATGTTCATATTCCTCTCCATAGATGTCGCTAGTGGTTAGCGCCTGTTAAGATGCTGCGCCGGATAATTCTCCACACGGCAATAGATGTCGCTAGTAGTGAGCGCCTGAAGGTATGCTGTACCGGATAGCAGGCTACTTTGGCCCATAGATGTCGCTAGTAGTGGGCGCCTGCAGATATACTGTACCGGATAGCAGGCTACTTTGGCCCATAGATGTCGCTAGTAGTGAGCGCCTGAAGGTATACTGTACCGGATAGCACGCCACTTCGGCCCATAGATGTCGCTAGTAGTGAGCGCCTGAAGGTATACTGTACCGGATAGCACGCCACTTCGGCCCATAGATGTCGCTAGTGGTGGGCGCCTGAAGGTATACTGTACCGGATATCACGCCACTTCGGCCCATAGATGTCGCTAGTAGTGGGCGCCTGTAGATATACTGTGCCGCATGGCGTGCTATTTCTACGCGGGCACAGGCTTGTAGATAAGTAAACAACGTTGGGTATGGTACTCGTCAGGACACTCGTGGAGACGGTACCGATAGGAACGTCTCCGCAGTGGGCGCACGCTCTTGCAGCGCAGTCCGCGTACCTGGTACCGGTCGCCTTGCCTGGCCTTCAGCCTTTTGTGACTTGTTTCATTGTAGGTAGGTCAAATAGTTGGTTGTCTATTCCACTTCTTTTCCCACTCTCTGAGGCGTCTGTCCTCCTCCCTCCCCGTCCTTTCCTTTCTACCTTTGTCGTTGTTTGGGGGCATCCGAGGCCACCGGCAGCGCCGGCCCTCTTCGCCCAATTTTTTTATCCGGGTCGGCTTAGCTTTGAAATCTGCGGCTCCGCCCGCTAGTGATTCTTTATCTGTACTTGACATCCCACCTCTACATTAAATTTGCTATTCGCTTGAGATTTACATCAACAACATGGACTCGGCCGAGACCACCGACCCTGCACCGGGTCACCCTTCCGAGGAGCCCGCCGAGCTCCCCCCCTCCCAGGCCATACCCGAGGGACCGGCTTTCCTGCTGGTAACAAGGAAGGAGGGAAGCTTCAGACACACCAACCCCTTCTCCCTCCGCCGGTCCATCGACTCATACATCGGTCCGGTGAACTCACTTAAAGCACTCAGGAGCGGCGCCCTCCTCATCGAGACGAAAACGGAAACCCAAACGATCCAAATGATGCGAACGGCCTCCTTCAGAGGCACCCCAGTCACGATCAGCCTCGCCACCCGGCTGAACTCTGTCGAGGGGTCGGTCCGCTCCGACGCCCTCACCGAGATAACAAACACGGAGCTCCTTCAGGAACTACAGACCCAGGGCGTCGTACGGGTCCAGCGCCTCCGGTCCCGCGACCTCCAAAATCTTGGGCCGAACCCCACCGTCCGGCTCACCTTCAGCGGCCGCATCCTCCCGCAGGCCATCCGATGCGGGTACCTTTCCGTGCCCGTGGACCCCTGGGTCCCGGCCCCGCGCCCCTGCACTAAGTGCTGGGCCTACGGACACTCTAAGCGCGCCTGCCGTCGACGCCAGCCCATGTGTGGCCGCTGCGGCGGGCCGCACGACGCCGAAAAGTGCAGCGGCCCTGAACAGTGTCCCGGCTGCGGCGGTCCCCACCCGGCGTGGGACCGCCGGTGCCCTATCGCAGAAGACGCCAGGCAGTGGCACCGCGCGGAAGTCAAGAACCGCCGCGCGGAGCACCGGGCCCAAGGCCACGGTCGGCCCAACGGAGCCACGTGGTTCCGGGAGGAGCGGCCCGACGGGCTGCTCCCCGCCCCTCACGCGCCGTCGGACACCGGGTCCCCTCCCACTCGTTCCGCGACCGCCGCCGCCGCCGCCCGCCCGACCGCCGCCGCCGCCCGCCCGACCGCCGCCGCCGCCGCCGCCCGCCCGACCGCCGCCGCCGCCGTCGCCCGCCCGACCGACACCGCAACCGCCCCTCTCGCCGGGGACGACTGGCCGCCCCTGCCGGCCCCAGGCGCGACCCATAAGGTGGCCTCACCACCGGCACGCTCCGTGCCACCCGCTCCTAAGCGCACTACCGAGGACCCAGAAGCCGGCGCCATGTCCTCACCGGCTGCCCCTCAGGCCTCGCCCTCCGTCCGGTCCGTCACCGACACCGACACCGACACTGACGACCCCGCTCCAAGGCCGTCCCGCCTCTCCAAACACTCGAGCGGCTCCGCGGAGAGCCTCGGCAGCGGCCAATCAGAGGCCGACACTATCTCCCTACAGCTCGACGAGCTAGACACTACCATAGTCAGCGCCCCCACCCCCTCACCGCCGCCCCACGACACTCCACCGCTCCGCCGGAACAACACCGTTCCCTTGAGCCTGGCCGACCTGGATGTGCTGGAGTCAGCCAGGTCCGGCCCGCTCACTCGGTCCGCTCTAAAGAAACAGTAATATGCCACAACACACGGAGGAATTCCTGCTCCAGTGGAATGCTAACTCTGTAGTATCCCACTGGGCGGAATTCCGTGAATATATAGTTAATAAAAAGCCATTAGTAGCCGCCATCCAAGAGACCCACTTCCTCGACACTGACTCGACTAAATATAACTTTAACCTCTTTGGATATTCTCTTTACTGCAATAACGTAAATGATTCCCCACGCCGAGGCGGTTCGGCTTTGTATGTCTCTAACAACCTTCTACATCATCAAGTTAACTTTGACTCTAACCTAAATTACGTTGCAACCACAATCAAAATCGCACAGCGAGACGTTAATGTAATCTCTCTCTACTTGTCACCTAGTATTAACGTAACGTACCAACAACTGGATCGACTCTTTGGCCAAATCCCCTCCCCTAAAATGATAATAGGTGATTTTAATGCTCACCACACTGCCTGGGGCTGCAACAACATAACACAGCGCGGCACCACACTTTACAACATCATTAACAAACATAATCTCATTTGTCTTAATGACAAATCACCAACATTCCACAGAATCATGAACGGAACAAATCAATATTCGGTAATTGATCTTGTGCTGACTTCTCCAGAAATCAGCTTGCTTTTTACCCCAAAAGTGCAAATCGACCAATACTTTAGTGATCATTATCCTATGCATATAACAGTTGAATCCTCTTCAAGGTCAACCATAAATACATACCTCCCGAAATGGAATTTTAACAAAGCGGACTGGACGACATTCCAGGACGACATAGATGAACAACTTGACATTCTTAGCTTCAACGACAATACAAACAATAACGTAAATGACAACGATACAGTAAACATAGAAAGTTTCCTTCAGATAATAGGCGTAGCAGCTGAACGTTCTGTCCCATTGACAAAGCAAAGACAGGGTTACAAACACGCCCCGTGGTGGACGGAAAACTGTCAAAAAGCAGTCGCGAGGCGCCGCAGAGCCCTACGGAAATGTAGGGCCTGCCCCTGTGTTGCTCATGAAATTCAGCTCAGGAACGAAATCAGGAACGCAAAAGAAGTCATCAATGCAGCAAAAAAAGAGTCTTGGGAAAGCTTTTCGAACAAATTCAACCGTTTCACACCCATTACTAAAGTCTGGGAACATCTTAGATGTTTCCGCATCAATAAACCAAAGATATATAAAATTCCGTCACTGATTATACAAAACACACTCACAACAGACCCACAAGCAGTTGCCACACATTTTGCAGCCCATTATGCAAACATATCCTCAAACAACAACTACTCAGGCACTCTACACAACAACCTCAGCACCACCCTATCAACACTCACGTTCCAATCCGACAACACAGAACATTACAATCACCTATTCACCCTATATGAACTACAACATGCAATCGTTAAGTGTGGGAATACTTCGGTAGGCCCGGACAAATTGCCCTACATGTTTTTCAGAAAACTAACCCCCTTTGGGCTGGAACACTTTCTCAAGGTCATCAACCAGCTATGGGTTGAAGGCCACTTTCCGGACTCCTGGAGAGAAAGTATAATCATCCCCATTCTCAAAAAAGACAAACATAGCACCGATCCAGCTAGTTACAGACCAATTTCATTGTCGAGCTGTGCCTCTAAAATCGTCGAGAGAATGGTCAACAATCGAATCAGAGTGTACCTAGAATCACAACACAAGCTCTCACAACACCAAAACGGATTTCGACCAGCACGCTCCACAGCTGACAACTTGATACACATTATTGACACGATACAACAGGGGTTTTTCCATAATAAAGTTACAGCTGCACTCTTCCTCGATCTGAAAGCAGCCTTCGACAAAGTACATCACAAAGCTATACTTATAAAAACACATAACATGGGAATACGCGGACGAATGGCCAATTTCATAAGTAATTTTCTTAATAACCGCACTTTCAAGGTCAGAGTAGGCAACACCTACTCAACCCTACATAACCTCGATCACGGCGTCCCTCAGGGAAGTCCTCTCTCCCCGACGCTCTTCCTTATATATATAAATGACATCTTTGACAATATACACAATGTAACACATAACGTACACTATTCCATGTACGCGGACGAT